GCTGCCTCATCTGTCCCCTCGGCCGCATCAGTGCTCAAGCATGTCTTGCTGTGACAGGCCGGCAGCCTGTGTTGCTGTCACGCACACACAAACACTAAACGAGCGCGCAGGCAGGCGCCGACACCAGCGAGGTGAAGGGTCACGAGCGACTGCCTCTCCAATGTTGTGTGAAATGTGTAGATGGTGGTCTCGGCCCTTTATGTGTGTGTGTATGCGACCGCATTTACGCGAGCGTGCGTGCGCGTGCGTCTCGAGGCCGGGCGGGGGGGCATCTCAAAGTAACTGGTTATTATCACCTCAATATTTTTCTTATTATGACAATTACATGCTCCAGGAGCGAATTAAGCGATACAGGACGCCAAGCGGGAGTGGTTGACAGCTATTTGGAGACTCAATGCACAGAGCAATTTGCAGCCCTGAGCCAAACAAATTGGATTTGGGCCACTTTGGATCGGGGCCCCAGATTGTTGGGCGTTTGGATCCCCCGACCGCGTGCCTGCCTGGCTAGTTAACTCGCTGGCTGCCTTTGATTCTTTGCAGGTAGCACGCAGCCGCGTGAACGCTGACGGTGACGACGTTGATTAAAGCGTCCCTTAAAATGTGCGCTTCTATAGTAAAGCGCGCCCGGCTTTTTGGGCTGCGCAGTGCTTCTTCCTTTTTGGTCTCGGGCCACACAGCTGTGCTCAAGTGTGTGTATAATCCAAATGAGCCTAACAGTCTTTAAACGAATTACTGGTACGCATTTTCCCACCCCGAAACTGCCACTGGAAAAGCTGGCAACAGCTCCCAATTAGGTGAAATGCAATTATTCCCATCCATTCACACAATTAGCCTGTGGGTTAACAACGTAGCTGTACGACCGACTAGCTCGGTGTTTTGGAAAAGCCATCGCCATGGTTACATCAACTCTCACGGTAACCCCGCCGTGTCAAACGGCGCGGACCCGAGGCAGCCGGTCAGCCAAAAAATAACGCTCGGCCCCATTGGCGGAGGCGGCGCGTTACATCACTGCGCTCAGAACGCTGGCTGACGTGATTGGCCGGGACACAGAGTGGTACCATGGGCGAGGGAAAGAAAAGGGAAGGAGAGAGAGCACGAGAGAGGAAAGCAAGTGCCCCGTGTGCTCAGTTGAGCGGGGGTAGATAATGCCAGGCGACAGACTGGCAGGCTGGCAGAGCGGGTGGGCACTCGCAGCAGCATGATGGAAAACAAAGGCTTTGTGTGTCAGCGCCGAGATCGCATTAACCAAAACAAGCAGCCGTGGACAGACTGCCACACCGACTTGGTTGTCAGTTCCACAGGCTAAGCCACGCTTGATGGATGGAGAGAGATGGGGGACGCCTGTCTCGGGTTTTGAGATTTTACACGCTGGTAGAGGAAGAAAAAAGTCGTTTGGCTGTGACACAAAGAGCCTCTGCTGCAGATAAACTCCGAGCACGCGGCTGGTTTCAGCCCACGTTTCTCCAGCTCGCTCTGACATGTAGAAAAACTTTCTTTACGTAAACACAATCTGAAAATATGTATGCAAATGAGCTGATGACCAGCCTAGGAGAACATGTCAGCACATCTTAACCATCGCCAGTGTCAGTAGGAAGGCTGTAAAACTTCCTAACAACTTCCAAAACGGCGCGTGCTGGTGTGAAAAACAGCAAAACCCCTAAAAGTCATGTGCAGTTTCTGCAAAACCATCGAGTGGCTCGACTGGAACCATTTTCACACAGTGTTTAAGTAGAGTGGACCACATCACAGCAAACATGTCAGATATGACAGCCTCTCTGCTCGTCGGTTTATTCGCCGTGTGTGCGGTGACAGGCGTGGCCGTGCACGCAGGGCTCAGGTGGTTCACGAGTACATTGGTCAACAGGCCGGGTGCTGCAGGT